AGTGAGGAGGGAATGGAGATTTTGCAGTATCCTTCCCCTGGAGTGAGGAGGGAATGGAGATTTTGCAGTATCCTTCCCCTGGAGTGAGGAGGGAATGGAGATTTTGCAGTATCCTTCCCCTGGAGTGAGGAGGGAATGGAGATTTTACAGTATCCTTCCCCTGGAGTGGGGAGGGAATGGAGATTTTACAGTATCCTTGCTGAGATGGACAGTTATAGAAATCAAGCAAGCAAATAAACAAATAATAAACAAACAAACTCAGAAGAAACTCCTGAAACAAACAAATAAACTCAGATGAAACTCCCGTTGCATTTAATGGTGCTTCCTGGGGCTTCCTGCCATGTTCATTTTCTCTCTCTTCGCGAGCATCATTTCCGAAATCGGCCAGCTTATCTTTTCCTAGGGCACTGCAAGTTTAAATATCCCATTAATCAGCCGATTAATCTACCACAATAAAAGAGTGCTTTTGTTGATTAATTGGCAGGGGAGTCTATTAATTGGTGAGGCTGCGATGGAACTGGAGGCTTGTTTATTTCCTGGGACTCTCCCTACCGAGTGAGTGAATGCAACCGGGAATTACTCCAGTGAGTAACGGTAAAGGAATGCAATTGCAAATGACCTTTCCCTTTTTAATAAGGACTGGCAATGCTGCTAATTATCTTCTCCCATCGACATCAAGTCGATTCTTCTCTATCAGCATGATGAGTTGAGAAGATGGATTGTCCAGGGGAGAGTTTCTCAAATCTTAGTCACTTTAAGACAAGAGGAGTTCAACTCTCAGAAGTCCCCAGGCAGCCATGCTGGATGTGAGACATGAAAAATCAGGGCCATTCCATTAAGTTGCAGTCCGGAAGATTTATTGCTTTTACACAAGACAGAGATGGTATTCAGCAGGTTCTCACCAGTTCTGGAGAACCAGTAGCGGAAATTTTGAATGGTTCGAAGAACCTGTAAATACCACCACTGACTGGCCCCTCGTCCATCTATTCTGTCTCCCAAGTCCCGGCTGATAGGGAGGGAATGGGGCTATTGTAGTATCCTTCCCCTGGAGGTGGGAGGGAATGGAGATTTTGCAGTATCCTTCCCCTGGAGTNAGAACAGAACAATAGAATTGAATTCTTTATTGGCCAAGTGTGATTGGACACACAAGGAATTTGCCTTTGGTGCAGATGCTCTCAGTGTACATAAAAGGACAAGATACATTCGTCACGAATCATAAGGTACAACTTAATGACCGTTATAGAGTACAAATAAGCAATCTACTAGGAAACAATATAAATCGTAAGGATACAAGCAGCAAAGTTACAGTACTGCAGTCCTAAGTGGGAGGAGATGGGTGATAGGAACGATGAGAAGACTAATAGTAATAGCGATGCAGCCTTAGTGAATAGTTTGACAGTGGTGAGGGAATTAGTTGTTTAGCAGAGTGATGGCATTCACGGGAAAAACTCTCCTTGTGTCTAGTTGTCTTGGTGTGAAGTGCTCTTTAGCGTCGTTTTGAGGGTAGGAGTTGAAACAATTTGTGTCCAGGATGCGAGGGGTCTCTAGATATTTCCACAGCCCTCTTTTTGACTCCTGCAGTGCGCAGGTCCTCAATGGAAGGCAGGTTGGCAGCCATTGTTTCTTTCTGCCGTTCTGATTCTCCTCTGAAGTCTCTGTCTGTCTTGTTAGGTTGCAGAGCCAAGCCAGGCAATTATAGAGGTGCAGATGACAGACTCGGATGACAGAATGCTGTTCTTGAACTCGGCTGTTTCCTTGGGGACCAACAAAACGGGACTGTGAGTCAATTTAATTCACTTAGCAAACTCTAAAACCAACTCTCGTTGGATGGTTAGTTATGAACTTTCTGCTGAGCGGGGTGAATGGAAACAGTCGCAATAAGAGCGCCTGATAAAGGAGCAGGTTTATGGCAGGAAAAGGTTGGCAAGAGATGAACGTGTTACACCCCAGGTTACCACATGTTTATGTATCTTTCCTGTAAAATAATTAAACATTACCTTTGGTGCTATGCATTTCTAGAAGATGGGCATGGTTAAAGATACAGGTGTTCAAAAGGCAATCAAAGATTTAAAAGTAGCAAGGCATTAAAAATACTTTGAGCTGTATTTTCGGTGTATAATGATCAATTGTCAGCCAATGTTGAAATATGTAAAGAATGTGAATGTTGGGTGGATGGATGGATAGATGATAGATAGATAGATAGATAGATAGATAGATAGATAGATAGATAGATAGATAGATA